GATGCAAAAATAAGTGTCCAACAATCACTTAACCGCGTTCTGTCATGGTTTGAGGCAGCGTTTCAGCCAGTAGTTTTGGGGATCTTGTCAAAATTGATGGAATGCCAAAGTACTGTCAGAGCCACAGCTTAATTTTTTTTCTAGCAATGCAGTAAAAGCTTACCTGACAGAGTAATACTATCAGTTGTGGATTGGGCTTCTCACAGCCTGGACAGCAACATTATTGAACAGAACAAAAGGCAGCCAACATCCAAAGAAGAGCGTTGAATGTCCTTCAAGAAGCCTGGAGAACTGTTCCTGAACACTTAAATAACAAGAAAGCTGCTTAAGAGAGTTCAAGCTGTTTGCAGCTTTAAATACAACACTACCTGTTTCCCAAATTCATTGCAAAATAGTAAGAAATGCAGGGCGTATCAAGACTTTTGCACAGTCCTGTAGCTTTTTTAGCTCAGTAGCTTTTAGCTTACCTTTGCCTGAAGCTTGCCTAACTCTGTCTGATGGTTAGAAAATAATTAAGAGGACACTAATACTTTAAATTTCTTCTATTGTTTTTTTAAAGATTGATTTCGTAGTGAGTTCTGGAAATGTTAGCCAACATGTTTGTTATCGTTGAACCAAGCTAGGCTAGCTGTTAGCTTCAGTTTACAGACAGATATGCTTCCAGTGATCTAATCCAGCTTCCTGTAAATTAGCAGTTTTCCCAAAATTATTGAAGTCTAGGAATACACAAGACTTTATTTACACTAACACAACTGACCCCCAGTCAGCTACATGTACTACATGTAATGTATTTACATTATTTGTGTCACGTCACTTTTCATTCAATGTATAACTTGACGGGAAAACATGCTGGCTTTCACATCCCCCCTTTTAATTTGCCAGCAACACTTCCATCCTACGAATACCGCTCCCTCAATGCATTATTATTTTTATTTATTTAGTTATTTTTGTTGTCAAAAAAGGTGGAAAACACCAATCCTACCACACTCTTAGACTCAGCAGCATCTGACAACATTTAGACAAGTGCTCAGATAATTTCAGAAAGGGAGGTGGGTGCCTGGTTGACCTGTGCGCCACCTATGCAAATACTGCCCTATGCTCAGTCCCTTTCAGTGGATCAGAGGAGTCATACCCAAACAGCCCCAGGGTAAGTGGAGATGCAGTAGCGATGGGGGTGTTTGCTAAACATCCAGTTTAGGAGCAATGGCGGCTGGTCACCAACAAAAGAGGCCCAAAAGGTTCTCATCAGAATTCGTCCTCGGAGCTGTCGGCCAGCAGCATGGCTTGGTCCTGACGGCTGGTGCCGGGTTCTCGGGGTTGCTGGAGAGGGAAAAATCATTTTAAGGTTGAGCTTATGCATTTAAGATCCACGGAGACCTGCTCCATGTGACCGGTCAACAATAACGAGTGAAAAAAAGAAAGTAAGTTATTGACCTCCTGCTGTCTGACCTTCCTCCTCTGGTGTTTAAAGCTGTTCCTCCTTTTGCGGTGAATCATCCTGATGCTGTAGAGGGCGCCAACAATTAGCAGGGCCCCTGTGATACCGATACCCACAGGGGCCAACATCCCGGACACGTAACCCGCCTGTAGAGGGTGATGGCATAGAGGTCAAACCCTAACCTATCCATCCATTGTCTTTCACCATCTTCCACTTATCCGGGGCTGGGTCATGGGGGCAGCAGTCTCAGCAGAGAAGGCCAGACCTCCCTCTCCCCAGCCGCCACCTCCATCTTATCCACCCCCAACCCTATACAGATTAGCTAACATACTGTTGTTGATTATGAAAGATGACCCAAGCACTCTTTATTCTATATTTTGATCGTCATCAAACGATTTTAACTGTGCAACCCACTGAAAACTATGAACATGTAACAAATATTTACAGTATGCACCTTAAAGAAAACCCTGGCGGCTCAAAAGAAAAAGATATCTGTGAGTCATCCGTCGCCTCATGGCGAGGTAAAAGAAAAATTGACCTTTTTTACAGACAGCAGAGGGTAGGCTTACCTTTTCTCTGATTAGCTCCACCCAGCTACGCACTGGGAGAAAAGAGACATTCGTTTATCAGAGCAACTCATCTGAAAATTGATAAGCTGCAAATTTCTTTATTTTTGTAGGTCTTTTATAAGAGGGCAACACATGTTTGCAGAAGTGCTAATACTAAAAGTTATGTCCCACTGCTGATTAAAAACATGGGTTAGAAATTGTGTTCTCATACTCAGCCCCTGGTTGCGTTGAACCCAGACGGGAGGTGGTGGGATGAGACTGTATGGAGGCTGCGTCGAGGATGTTTTCGATGTTTCTGTTTGGTCTTCTTCACTGTCTTCTTCCACCGATTCCTCCGAGTTCTCAAAGTCATCTTCCAGGTCCTCTGTGGAGAATAAAGAAAAATCATCCGGGAGCGTTGGAGGATGTACAGAGGGACACGTGTTGTCACTGAACATGAACATCAAGCCACTCCATCGCAAATGGAGTGGCTTGTAGGTGGCATTTAAAAAAATTGTCCTACCCTCAGAGTCCATCTCCTCTGATGTGGATTTGTGTGCTGGCTGATGGGTTGTCATGGTTACCATTGTCATTGCTTGCTGGAAAGATGAGAGGGAGGGGCCGGCCGAGGACACGTTGTCTTTCAGGTTTAGCGTCCTCGCAGAGACTACGTTTGCTAAATGAAAAACAGAATGAGAGGACAGCAGGAGCAGTGTGAGCACAGCTGTACATGTTTGCAAGTGCGCAACTTCAAAAGCCGTGCACAGTATACAATACTGCTGTCTCTGCAGCTGTTGGGTCAATTCATGCCACAATGAAGTGGTAGTGATGAAAGATTCAACCACTTTGTCAGCGTCAGACGGAGTCTGGCAAGAAGCAAACTTAGAAAAGGTAAATGTAAACGTGAAACCCACCGAGGCGTCTTCACACAGAGAAAATGTTCAGTGTTGTTGAACGGTTAAAATTTCGGATCCCTATTATAGTTCTACTTTGGCACCAGCGTGAAATACTTTTAATTTGTAGGAAATTGACTAAATCTTGACAAAAAAACCTGAATGGCAATGTTGATTTTATTTATATGGCACATTTACACATTACACACAAACTATATGTATGATTTTATATCATGATTCCATATGATCTAATATCCACATTCGGGTCGTGCCACATCATCTGTCTCACCTTTCTCCGAATGGTCGTCCGGCTCAGTTCTGACTTGCTGCTGAGAAGCAGATGGACCCGAGGAACTGAATGGCTCTAGGAGCTCGCTGCCAGATGTCTGCCAAGGTGACGTCCAGTCTGGAATAAGGACGGGTGAGGCATGTGATGGACCGTCTCTGTCACTCTCTACGGTGACCAGCTGGTCCAGACCTGCCTCTGACCGAGGAAGCCCTCTGGGCCGGCTGCTGCCTGACACATGGGTGACCGGTGCTGCTGCCGCCGCCGTCGCACTCTCAGATGTGATGTCTTCAAAAGGCTCAAAGATGAGAGGGAGAGCCTCTGATGACATTGTGGCCTCTGTGGATTCATCCTGGGGCATTGGGAGGGCAGTTTCCGCTGCAGGTGGTGCCAAGACAAGCTCAGAGTCACATGGAAAATCACTGTGTGTAGCATCACAATCTAATTGGAACGTTTCGGATCAGCTGGCTTTTATTTATTGACTGAACGAAGACAAATGACGACGAGGCAGGCGTCTCGCTGTCTCTCTACACACACTTCAGCTGACTGCTAAAATTAAAAATGTATGTTTTCTACAGAGAAGCAGCAGCTGTATTCAGCACATACTGTAGCTTATGTAGTATTTATGACAGAAAGCGGCCCTTTGAAACAGCTTCTTTGCTCACGCAGCTTTCTCATTATAAACTGCTTCAAAACAATGCAGCAAAGGCACAATGAAAAGAAGATGGTTTGGAAAAAAAATGTTCTTTTGAGATAAGAGGCTAGCACACAGGAAGGGGGGCTGTTACAAGAGAAACTGTTACTACCTTTAGTCCAAAGCATTCTGAAGGAGGTGGAAAAATGCTTCTGAACGCTGCAATCCTTTTACATAAGACTATTTTGGGAGTTGAGTTTGCCATTGGGAGAAAGTCTCATCAAACAGACAATCCTCACATGGACGCACACTGGCTCAGACAGACGTCTTTAATCCAATTCCCTGTCCTGACTCACTGAATCAGCTTGGCCCTTTCACAATAGCCTGAATGGAGAATATGAAGGGTGAGAAGGAGTGAGAGGACATTCGGGGCTAAACATATATATACATATATATTTATATATATGTTTATATATATATATAGAGAGAGAGAGAGACAGAGGAGGGGGCTGACTCCTCCACGGAGCTGTATAACGTACCTTGCCACCAGCCTTTTCCAGGCTTGTGTGTGTGTGTGTTCTCTTTTTTCAGACTCGAGTCAAGAATAGAAAGTAATTAGACTGCCATGGGTCCCAGCTGGGGTTCAAAGTGGAGTCTGCAAAAGGAAGCGCCTTCTTTGCCAATCATCAAAGGCAAAATCCACTGCTGGATATGTCATTCTATTTCTGCCATACTTTTTAATGAAGCCCTATGAAACCCTGCGAAATCTAGCAAGCTGGAATGTTGTTGGAACGAATTCTTACGTGGGTGACGATTACTGTGGAGCAATACCTCGCACACTTTGAAGGCATACTGTGACTTTTTAGTGTGCACATGTGCAACTGATGAACAATCAGGGAGTAGAGGGCGTGCCACCCCAATAAAATTAAACTGTGCATGCCTATTTTATGGTAACATTAATTGCATAACTGTCCTGCCTTACCTCCGCCGGGTCTTGCTGCTTCAGTCCACAGACTTTCTGGGCCATCCTCTCTGGGTATCAGGCTCGGTCCGATTTCAGGTAAAAATGGGTCTGGTAGTGAGGACATAGTTGTGCTGTCGTGGCCCCAAATTGCCAAAGGTGAAGAGGTCTGATGGGTAAAAACATGAGGGGTGGGACTGTGGGAGGTCTGGGTCCAGAGGGAAACAGAGGGATTTGGAGGTTCTGGCAAACTTCTTTCTGTGTCTTTGTCCCAGTGAGAATCAAAGCTTTTTGTCCCATATGCTCCAGCGGGGTTACTCTTTTGGCTGTACGAAGTCTGCAGGTGTGATGGTGCTGAAGTGGAGGTCAGTAATCTACTTGGAGTCCTTTTTCGGGTACTGGTGTCCATGTCCGACTGCTCTGTCCCACCTGTTGGACTTAAATGCTCACCGTGAACTGGTGCATCCTCCTTTTTGCTCTCTGAATCCACAGACTCTGACTGCTTCTCAGAGTCTCTCATCTCAGATGTGCTCCCGATCTTCTCTATCTCGGCGCTTTGGCTCCATGCCTCTCCACCAGCCTCACTCAGCCTAGATCTTCCATCAAGACTGTCCCCATTTTCTGTCTGCGTCACTGCATCAGTCCCCCTGGGTCGTTCATGTGGGCCAGTCCCTCCTCCTCCACCTACATTCACTGTCAGGTCACTCTCGTGTCTGGAATCTGATGGTGTAGGTTTTAAATCTGTAGCATGTGTCGACCCGGTGGTTGTTACTGAGCTGGCACACAGTCCTTCACAGGAGCCGGCCTGCGTAGGGCTGAAGTGTGGGAGATTTAACGGGGCTCCGTAGACACAGAGACACGTCCCAGTCAGTAGGAGGTGATGGAGCATCCCAAGCATCAGCATCTCTGGCTCTTCTCAGTGCCTGCTGACAGTGAACAGAAATGACACATGCTAACAGGCTTAACAGAGGTGTAACCAATCCCTACCTACAACTTCCACGCCTTGTCTCCCAGCTGACATATACAGACATGGACAAAGCAACGGTGGCGGTGCTTGAGAATGGAGACGGACACCCAGCAGGGCCAAGTTAGAAAGTTTTTCAACTGTAGATTAAAGGGTCAGAATGCAAACTGTGTTTAATTTGAGATCGCCATTGATAACCACAGAGAAGAGGATTAACAGAGCATTTCTGCCTGCCTTTGCTTTGATGTTGCGCTTGCATTTTTTTTCTTTTCTTAATGCGGATGAAATTCCCTTTCATCTCTGACTCTTTTGTTCGGTTTTGTATAAACAGAAGGAGCTGCTCAGTGGGAGAGAGAAGCAGAGAGAGAAAGAGAGGGAACCTGACACAGCAATCCTCAGCACCCCTCCACACTTCACCTATAAATAGCACCAGGTTTTCTATCCTCTAGGATCCTCTTCAGATGGCTCCATGAAAGATTTGTACATTTCCACTCAACTGCATCCAGCTCAAAGCAGAGCGTTCCTCAGAAAGGATGTGTGTGTGCTCACAGTCCAATTGCACACTGGATTTAAAGACATTTAAAGAAAATCACGTACCATGTTTGCTGCTTTATTTGATGTGATAACAAAGGCCAACTAATGATCAATCACTGCTGTTAAAATGAGAGAGATGGCTAGTACATGCAGGGTTGACACCCTTCTTATTGCCTGAGTCAGACGAGCGTCTGAGTGAAATTCTTTCCCAGCAGTGATGATGCACAGAACTGCATGTTACAGGATAAACCACTATCCTGCCTTTCACGGAATCAATACAGTTGATACACTCAGCCGGTACGCTCATGCAGTCCCCCACATGACAACACGATCACCCGAGAATTTGGGTTGTAAACAAAATTCACACTGCGGTGTTGAATCATACTTCTCGAGTCTGCACAGAAAGGAGCGATGCATAGGCTCACGGGCACCGATGCATTCCCCCAAGGCGCATCACCCATCACATTCGGGTGTCGAAAGCGAGATTTTGCATTAGGCAAGAATTAAAGTCGCGCAGAGCTAAAAATAGAGTGTTACCTTGTGGAGTTCATGACGGGTTTCTTTGCTCGGAGGACGCGGAGCTTCTCTCGCAGTGCGCGAAGAAAAACGAGAGTCGGACACGCACACAAATTCAGCGCTGTGGAAGGCAAGATGTTGGAGAGGCTTGTTGTTGTGCAGCTCAGCGTCACTGACTCAAAGTCAGCCTACGTACCTCCGCCTGCTTCTGAAGTGCTGCCACCAAATGCTCCAAATCTGCAAGATTTATCATGAACTGGCAGCCAGTGCTCTGATTCAAATGTTCAGATGCTTCTGTCACTTCTTTCTTTTTTTTCTGTTTTGTCTCTAATGCAGACTTGTGCAGTTGTTCCCAAAGGGTCACTTCATGCTGGTGGTGGTGCTGAATAGACAGCTCCCCCCACTTAAATCTGCTCGGCTGCTCCTCTGTGTGAAAAGAGAGTGGACAAGTTCTCGAGTTCTTAATAAAAATATTTATGAATTCACTTTAATTGTCACAGAAGCCAGATGCATTGGGCTACATTAGATTAAAAGCAGTACTTATGGGCCTCTTTGGGGTGGTCCAGTTTTTGGCGCAGCGTGTTTAGAAAAAATGCGTCTCAGCTGTTCCGATACTCCTGACATATAAGTGATCACTAAAGGTTTTTTCTCTTAGTAGAAGAAGATAGCCTTAATGTGATCATTTGAGATGTTCAATCCAAATATCAATCCAATACCAATTCCAACACTGGAATTGGTATTGGATCGATACTAGCTCCATACGATCGGTACTTCGGTGTGTTTTGTTGGGTTAACTAATTGTTGTAAAGAGTAAAAGATGACAGTAATTGGGTGATCATTAAGATGTGTTCAGAATTTTCAAATTGATTATGTCTCATTTCATAAATCATGACAGACTGCTCTTCCCTACAAGGTGCCTTTATAGGGTAAAAGTCTCAGGTTCCGCAGTCGTGGCCCTGTATTTACTTGCTATTGGATCTATGGCACGGATCTAGTGATCATTTGAGTCACATACCTCTGGCTGTGAGTACAGAAGCACATCTCACCTGCTGCTCAAAACTTGTGTTTGCAAGGAGCAGCCAATCAGAATAATGTGGTTTAAAGGTGAAGATATAGAGAACTAAAACGGCTTATTTCAGACATGAATGAACTGAGATGTTGTACCAATTATGCCTAGTATGTGGTAAATTTAAAATAAA